GCGGAGGACAGAACAAAAACACCTACGTAGCGGCAATGTTAACCTTAGTTTTGCAAAAGTGTCCACACATTTCTACAATAGAACATAAATTCATGTTGCCCGGACACTCTCATATGGAAGTGGATGGCGATCATGCTGTGATTGAGAGGAAAAAAAAAGTAGTACATTGATAAGCCACCCCCATGATTGGTATCAGCTGGTCCGATCGTGCGGTCCTAGATTTTCCGTTATTGAGATGACGCAGGAGGACTTTTTAGAATTCTCACATATATTGAAAGGTCCCCTAGTTAAAAGAAAAAAAGATGTTGCACAAAACAATTTTAAGTGGCAACCGTTTAAGCAAACAGTTTGGTATCATCCAATTCAAAACCAGCTTAGACGATTATGAACCATACCAAGAGGTGTCCTTCTTACGGCAGAAAATATCCGCAAAATGGCTAGATGATGGCGGCAACGTCCCACAAATTAGAAACACCTTATTGCCGATATCCAAAGAAAAGAAGGAGGATCTGTTGTCCGTACTACAGTTTATTCCCCCTGTATTTCATAATTTTTACAGAGGCTTGCTTTCATCTGGCTCAATTGTGTCGACAGATCCTGATTTAGGTGAGATTGATTCAAATTCCGACAACCCCAACTTTTGACAATCTGAAGTATAAATGTGCGATTTTTGTTATTTTAGCTTAAAGATTTGATTGTTCTAGTTCTTCTTACTATGTATACATAAGTAATTTTGAGGTTAATTTAATTTAAGTAGAAAACGTTTATGTTTTCAGTATGTGGCCGATCACATAAGTCAATATTATGTATTTGTTTCACGTGGCAGATGTAACAAGTCGCCCAAAACTCGTTACACCCAGTGCGTATTCAATTAAAATTGAATGCACTGGGTGTGAAATGGTGAGAGATATCACTTTATTAAAAGATATTACTACTATGTTGTTTTATTTTAAAATGAATAAGTTTTTACCCTCTCCTGAAAAGTGACTGATTTTGACTTATGTACTTATTCCCACCATACGCAGATATAAACCTTGACTGTAACCAACTTCATAACAATTTGTCAAAATTAAATGTAAATTTTATAAAACGTCGTTTTCTTTACAAAAAATGATATTCGTTATTTAGTTTTTTTTAATGCCAAATATATAGAAACTCCTAAAAAATTGAATTTGTCCGCGACTACCTTATAATATATACCTTATGAATGAGTTTTCTAAAACAAAATGGTAGTCATTTTTCACGGAGTGAATAATAGCGGTGAATAATAATCATTATCCACGGGTAGCCATCTTGACCAGATTAATAATAATTATTTNTTAAAATTGCTGGTTACTACTTTTTGCACAAGTATTAAAATTTATGTTACATATTACGACAACCTTGGTTATAACGAGGTACCGTCTATAGCGAGCAATTTTTTCGGTCCCTTGACTGCTCGTTATAACCGGTCTTCACTGTAATTCATTCCTACTTTTGATCTGAGGTTTTCGGCATTAGCAGTTTCTCGAAAAACGAGATCATGACATGTCAGCTACTTTTCTTCTAACTCTTATAGTTTCCGAGTTAGCCTATTCGGACATCGAATTTGAACCACCCTGTACATTAGAAAAATTATACACAGATAGATGAAAGTATCCTAAAACTTTTTTTTTCAATCCGGTCGCTTACGTCACGAAGCACTCCTGCTCTTGCTCCTCGCCCACAAACTAAAATCAAAGTATTGCAGCATATTTTAACGTTTCAAATAATTATTATTAGTCTGTCAAGTTGGTTACCCGGGAATGCCCGTGAATAATGATTATTATTCACCGCTATTATTCACTCCGTGAAAAATGACTACCCTTTTGTTTTAGAAAATTCATTCATAAGGTATATATTATAACAGGGGTGGCCAAGCTCCTTGATAGTCCGAGCCATTTTTCAAAATTCGAAATTTTTCGCGAGCCGCAATTAAATACGTATATATTAAAAAGGTATGCAAAAAAGGTATTAAAAACAATTTTTTTAGAGAAATTATATTTTATATACTAAAAAAAAAGGACCCCGAGTACATTTATCGAGAGCCACAATCATTCAAAGAGCCGCATGTGGCTCGCGAGCCGCAGTGTGGCCACCGTTGTATTATAAGGTAGTGGTGGACAAAGTTTATTTTTAACTTTATTCTAAAACAATACGAAATAGACCTATCTGACCCCATATTTTTGTAATCAGAAAAAAATAACGAATTTAATAAGCGAATAATCAGTGGTTGTTTCCATTTAAAAAAACGCAAATTGTCATGATATCTCAAAATCTAAAACCGAAAAATTTTTTTGGCTGTGTCATCAAATTCTCTGTAAAAAAGTGTCCATATAATGTCTTAGTTATAATACTCCAGCTATAATAATAACCAAGATAATTGCGCTTGCTGGTTTTACGATATTTTCAATTTTAGCCTCTAGCGGAAAAACAAAAGACGATAGCGCTATGAGGTTTTCGGCATTAGCAGTTTCTCGAAAAACGAGATCATGACATGTAAGCTACTTTTTTTCTAACTCTTATAGTTTCCGAGTTAGCCTATTCGTACATCGAATTTGAACCACCCTGTACATCAGAAAAATTATACACAGATAGATGAAAGTATCCTAAAACTTTTTTTTTCAATCCGGTCGCTTACGTCACGAAGCACTCCTGCTCTTGCTCCTCGCCCACAAACTAAAATCAAAGTATTGCAGCATATTTTAACGTTTCAAATAATTATTATTAGTCTGTCAAGTTGGTTACCCGGGAATGCCCGTGAATAATGATTATTATTCACCGCTATTATTCACTCCGTGAAAAATGACTACCCTTTTGTTTTAGAAAATTCATTCATAAGGTATATATTATAACAGGGGTGGCCAAGCTCCTTGATAGTCCGATCCATTTTCTTCTTTATTTCTAAAACAATACGAAATAGACCTATCTGACCCCATATTTTTGTAATCAGAAAAAAATAACGAATGTAATAAGCGAATAATCAGTGGTTGTTTCCATTTAAAAAAACGCAAATTGTCATGATATCTCAAAATCTAAAACCGAAAAATTTTTTTGGCTGTGTCATCAAATTCTCTGTAAAAAAGTGTCCATATAATGTCTTAGTTATAATACTCCACCTATAATAACAACCAAGATAATTGCACTTGCTGGTTTCACGCTATTTTCAATTTTGGCCTCTAGGGGAAAAACAAAAGACGATAGCGCTTTGAGATTTTGGCATTAGCAATTTTTCGAAAAACGAGATCATGACATGTAAGCTACTTTTTTTCTAGCTCTTATAGTTGCCGACATAGCCTATTCAGACATCGAATTTGAACCATCCTGTACATTAGAAAAATTATACACAGATAGATGAAAGTATCCTAAAACTTTTTTAACTAAAACTCCTGCTCTTGCCCCTCACCTACAAACTAAAATCAAAGTATTGCAGCATAGGAACTTAGACAACCTTTAATATATAAACCTTGACTGTAACCAACTTCATAACAATTTGTCAAAATTAAATGTCAATTTTATAAAACGTCGATTTCTTTACAAATAGTTATTTTTGATACAAGATAGCGAAATGACACTTTTGCATTCAAGAACGAAAGTTTTTTTTGCGAGCTTTAGCGAGCAGAAAAACATGTACAGGTGTTTATACTTTTCATTCCATCTTATCTCAAGAAAAATTATAAAAAACCGATTTTTTTTAATATACAGCAGCGTGGGACTAAATGGGTTAACTAAAATATAGGTAATTTTTTATCATTTAATCACAGTTAATTCGTTGAATTTTACTTTAAAGATTTGTTTACGAGTTGTATGAACCGTGTATTACCCTGAACCTTGAACAGTCTCACGTTAAATTAGATTTGACAACGTCGCTAGTTGCGGAATTAAAATTTCATTTGAATTTTTAAATTTTATCTAAATTTAATCATCTATCATTTTTATTTAAATGTTTTTAAATAAACCCATTAAAACATTACAATATGTATAAAGGCAACATAGCAACATATAAAGATAGTACTGTATTTATAAACGTACTTTATTAGCTACTTTACTCTTAAAACCTAAACACAGAATATTACAAAATTAAATCATATTTATGTACAAGATTATAATAACTATTTATAAATGTAATTATATATAAAAACAAATCGTAGAGTTGGGCTGCTACTTCCATGATTTAATTTGTTTATTAATTTTTTAACAATAATAGCACAGAAACACAAAAAAGAAACAGGAATAAGAAGAATAAGAGGGGACGAAATATTTTAGGCGGCGCTTTGTTTTTTTGTTTTTAATTTACACTTATACACTTAACCATAGGGTAATAATAATAATTAATTATTATTTAATATTAATATAATTAAAATCACAGATTTATAAATATGCTCGGCTGAAACCTTCGGGAACAGTCGGGAACACTTTTGTGTGTTTCGTTTAAAAGACAAGTGAAGCGCAATCTGGCGGATATTTTAGAACTTTGTTCTTTTGTAGTTTTTTAGAATTTATTTTATTTGGAAAATTATTTCAAACTATTTCTGACGTTGTGATTGAAAAGAAGGGGGCTATTGTCATGTTTAGACAATTTTTTTGGTTTCTTTTCTTGGATAGCAGATCTTTATAAATTTAAAACTTTAATTTCTTTATTCTATATTAATTATAGAGATCCCATTTTTGTTTTAAAATCTATACATTAATTTTTCAAAAATTTTATTTAATATCTAATTAACTTTGAAGCGTCCTTTTGATAATTTTTTTAAAAATTAATTTACATCTTTTTTTGTCTTTTAAACTTTTAATACGATTATCACTTGTTCAAAAACACAAAAAATTTATCTAATTTCTCAAAAATAACTCCTAAGACGTTGAAGATTCAACACCTTATATTAAATATTGCCCCTTTAATCAAAATAAAAAACAAAACAAAATTGATATGTTAATCAGAAAGTTTATTTTTTTTGTGAGTCAGTTTCAGGCGCAAACGGAAATTGGACCCGTATCCGCGAATTATGCGCCAAAATATCATGATACATTTGTAAATATTCAGAATTCGGCATTCGATACGGCAAATAAGTGTTAAACATCCGTTGGTACATCAAATTCATATCGGGAACGTAAGGGGGGGTCGGCAATTTTGCACTGGCCATATGCGGAAACATAACCTGATTTCCGTTATGATATAAAGGGGGTTGAGGGGGTACTGAAGGAATTCTAGCCGCACTTGGAGGAATTAAATCTTTTGAATTAACAAAATCTTTAAACGCAAACTCTTTAGGTGCAAAATCTTTCGGTGTTACAAACTCTTTTGGAACAGATGGAGCTTGCGGAATATATTGTATACTAGCTTCAAAATCTTTTTTTGGGGCGGAAATCGCCGAGCGCGGCCGATCGATTCCATCACTTCTCGGAATTTTAACCGAACTGGTTAAAAAATTTTCACTAATAGTCCTTTTTCGAGGTAAACCCGAAGGTTTTTGAAAGACTGAATTATTCCCCAATGATAATCGTGGGGGGTTTCCCAAAGCGGTTGGTTTTCCAACTAAGGTAATTTCGAGGTTAGCGTTTAATTTTCGACCATCTAAAGGATGGTGAGGGGTTCGAGCGTATGGCAAGTCGTTGTCCAAGTAACTGTAGGGGATTTGGGCGGGTTCCATCGTTGGCTTTTGAGGAGATTTAACCGTTAAATCGAGGATACCACCACCGGTGGTTGGACGAGTGGCTTCCGGAAAAATTGGTGCTTGAACTTGATGAATTGTTGGTTGAAATAAGTCTTTGGGGTCGCCATAAACCGTTTTCTCAGATGGGATGTATATTGATTTTGATTGAAGGACTTTAGGTGGATTATGACCATTTACAAACCTGCAACACAATTTATTCAAAATTAGAAAAGTATATCTCAACAACTAAAAGATGAGGGACGTGGGGAGGGAGGAAGGGTTAGTTAACAACAAAAACTCTTATACAGGGTGTATCTAAATGACTACAACAAACTTCAAGGGGTGATTCTTTAGTGAATTTTAAGCGTACTTTCATATATGAACCATGGGCGACTTCGGCTCCCCTAAGGAGCTACACCCCTCCAAAAATGGCGGAAAATTTTAGTTTAATTTCTTTTTCTCGAAAACCATAAACGCTAGGAAAATGAAATTTAGGGAATATGTTTAACTCATAATAGGGCACGTTTTGACCCTATTTGTACTTTCAACCTACCCTTCTAAACTACTAAACGTAACCACCCCCGTTCAATTTATGCCTAGATTTGTTTTATGAAGGTGATAAATACATTGGAAAAATTTTGGTTAGATAGGTAAAACTATTCTAAAACTTTTTTATCTCTCTGAAGTTCTTCGAAAATTTAATAATTTCTGAGAAAAAATATAATTAAGCAAACACTAACTGTTAAGCTGTAGGGTTGTTAATCAAAAGTTGGAATGAATTTTTAATGAAAAAATCTTAGTAGGCTTTGCAATCTTTGTCAGAAATATTTTTAACGTTTAAATGTCAGTGGTTTTCTTACTATTATTATTATTTTATTTAAAATTTTGAGCCTAAATGCCATAGAACTTTATTCAAAAATTAATTTGAAAAACAATAATAATAGTAAGAAAAACATTAACATTTAAACGTCAAAAATATTTCTGAAAAAGATTGGAAAGCCCACTAAGATTTTTTCATTAAAAATTCATTCCAACTTTTGCTCGACATCCCAGTTATTTAACGGGCAGTGTTTGCTTTATTATTTTTTTTCTCAAAAATTAGTCGTTTTTGAGAAAATTTTAGAGAGACAAAAAAGTTTTAGGATACTTTCATCTAGCTATGTAAAATTTTTCTAATGTATTTATCATCTGCATACAAAAAATTTTAGCAAAAATGTAAAGGGGGTGGTTACGTTTAGTAGTTTAGAAGGGTAGGAAGAAAGTACAAATAGGGTCAAAACGTGCCCTATTATGAGTTAAACATATTCCCCAAATTTCATTTTCCTAGCGTTTATGGTTTTTGAGAAAAAAAAATTAAA